TAGATTTAAAATTAAAGACAAAATTTTTTTTAATCTGTCAATTATATAAATTTTTAATAATTTAAGACAATTTTTAAAATAATTTTTATATTTTTAACACAATTTATTCAATTTAGATTTTTATATTTTTTGGAATATCAAATTTTATTACTTTTAATAATTCTAAATATGAACAAGAAAGGCTTAATTTTATTTTTTGAAAAAAATTTACAAACTTTTATAAAACAATAATTGTTAATCATTTTTTAAATTGGCTTATATCGCTTATATATATATTTAATAAAATCTAAATATTTTGATACAATTTGTTTTCAACTAAATAATTTTTTTTGCATTTACTATTAAAATGTATTGTTATATCATTTTGTTTACAAAATATCAATGATTAAATTTTCAAAAATTAAATGGGATATCATATAAATATATTTTGAAGCAATATCCTTGAAATATGGATATATAAAAATGTATTGTTGTAAATTTTGTTTAGCGGCATATCAATATCTCTATATATTTATTTAATGCCGAAATCTAAATATTTTGAACACAATTTTATGGCTTTCAACTAAAATATATTTTAACGCAATTCATGCCTTCAACTACAGATAAAATGTTTGTTGGTCATTTTTGTTTAGCGGCATATCAACATCTCTATGGGTTATTTATACTTACCGAAATCTAAATATTCGGAACACAGTTTTATGGCTTCAATTAAATATATTTTGAAAGCAATTGTATGCCTTCAACTACAGATAAAATGTATTGTTGGTCATTTTGTTTAGCGGCATATCAATATCTCTATGGGTTATTTAATGCCGAAATCTAAATATTTTGAACACAATTTTATGGCTTCAACTAAATATATTTTGAACGCAATTGTATGCCTTCAACTACAGATAAAATGTATTGTTGGTCATTTTGTTTAGCGGCATATCAACATCTCTATGGGTTATTTAATGCCGAAATCTAAATATTTTGAACACAATTTTATGGCTTCAACTAAATATATTTTGAACGCAATTGTATGCCTTCAACTACAGATAAAATGTATTGTTGGTCATTTTGTTTAGCGGCATATCAACATCTCTATGGGTTATTTAGTGCCGAAATCTAAATATTTTGAACATAGTTTTATGGATTCAACTAGCGATAAAATGTATTCATGGTCATTTTGTTATAAAATTTAATGTTGGCAGTTCTACTATGAATATGTATCGTTGGTAATTTTTTTCGAAACCTCCAATCTCCTGATCAGAGGATTGGCTGCCGGGTGTAGAAGACGAAGAAATAGAATGTATTTCCTGTTATATGAAATTTCTATTTGTGCTTATATGGGCCAGAAATGTCCCACAAAAAAGAAAAGTTAGGAAAACACTATTTAAAACACACCTCTTGTCATACTATGCACTTCGTGAGATGATGCTGTCATTGCTGGAAATATTCTTGGAACTCCTCGTCCGGAATCATTTCCTTTATTTATGTAGTCGTAAACCGTTGGATGTCAACGGTTGTAATAAAAAAAAAAAAAAGATATTTTTCAGTTTCCGAAATTGCTTAAAATTACAGGTAGATAAGTATTGTAAATACGGCGGTTGGATTAATTCAGGAATTCTTGAATTCTTAAGGCTTCGTTTCTGCCATTCTCAAATCTTTTATTAGAATCTGCTGCACTGTTTCCAACTTTATGTTTATTTCTGCCATCAGATGCACACTTTAATTTTCGATCTGAGTCTTTAGCGTTATATCAACCTCTAAGTCACTGAAGCACAAACTGCAGTCTGTTGCTTACCTACAGCCAATTTGGTCTTTTTGAATAGTACGCTTAATTTCATATGCACAATAACATTTCTTAAAATTTTATTCTGATTCGTTCTCCCTTGTTCACTCACAGACTCTCTCATAAATAACCACAGACATGAATAATGATTAAGCAGAATGTCTATTGAACTGTGTAAAGTTTTGAGGAACTAAAGTTGCCAGTATTTAAAACAATTGGCAATTTTTATTAAGGGAGATCATACATGTAAACATCTTTTGCTTTCCAAAACAGGTTTTCTTGTGGTTCTAAAGAACTTGTCCATAACAATCTTTTCTCTAATGAAGAATTGTTTTCCGGTTTGGTTTGGTTTGATTTGTTTTGTTTTACGGCCTATCAACTTCAATGGGTTATTTAATGCCGACAAAATTTTTATTGCTGGTAATAATTTTTTTCAAAAATGTATTGCTGCTAATATAATTCTGTTTTCAAAAAAATGTATTGCTGGTAAAATTTCCCCCAAATAATTAACTGGTAATCGAATTTTTTTACAAAAAAATGTATTGCTGCTATTAAAACTTATTTTTACACTTTAACGGACTTTTGACCGCAGGTTGTGGGTTAAGTATTTGTCCGTAGTTGGGACCATAACAGGTTCCACCACCACGGGTCAGAGTGGACCTGGGAACATCAGCAATTAAGAGATGGTTCTACGCTCCTCAAAACCTCCTGACAAACTACATCCGTCTTGCTGTCGGATGTAGTTTATCGTCTTACCCAGCACGCGCATGCAGTTTATTGTCTTACCCACGGCGAAGATGTTGTTTATTGTCTTACCCAGGACGCGGATATAGTTTATCGTCTTACCCAGCACGCACATGCAGTTTATTGTCTTACCCAGGGCAAAGATGCTGTTTATTGTCTTACCCAGGACGCGGATGTAGTTTATTCTCATACCCAGGACGCGGATGTAGTTTATCGTCTTACCCAGCACGCGCATGCAGTTTATTGTCTTACCCAGGGCGAAGATGTTGTTTATTGTCTTATCCAGGACGCGGGAATTGATTCAATTTTCAAATGAATGAATTAGAAATAAATCCAACACAGCGATATGTGATAATCACATTGTCATTAGTCATGATATTATACGAAGACTCAATTATTTAATTATAAAAAAAATATTTTCTAAAAAATATATTTTTCATATCATTTTAAGGCATATGCTTACGCATATGGTCTTTGTAAAAATAGCTGAGGTACCTACTACGAAAAATTACCTTGAATCTTTGTAATATTGCGGTCTGTCTTGTGGGGAGGAGCCATAGATCATGTGGTCCACTATTCGACAAAGGTTGCCCATGCTTGCTCTAGGGGTTATTTAATGTCAAAATCTAAATATTTGGAACATAATTTTATGCTTTCAACTACAGATATTTACTACATAATTTTATAATATCAGGTTAAATGTTATGGTCTTTAGACATATTGTTTGTAGATCATAAAATTGATTGTTGGTAAATTTTTAAAGTGCATTGCTGGAAATTTCACTACAAAAATGTATTGTTGGTAATCTTTATAAATAAGGCATTGCTCATAATTTTACTATAAAAATGTACTTTTATGTTTTTTATTGTATTTATTGTCTATTTTGTAATAAAATGCATTGTACATTATTTACATTAATCGGACTATTGTCCTCACCTTTGTCGGCATATTTATTATAAAACATGCCAAGAGCACATGGCACAGTGGATAAAGGCGTTGGTTAGATCCAATGATAGGACCAAAAGAGTGTGAGTTCAATACCCGGTTAAGGCAGTGGAGAACTTTCAGAGGGAAATTAACAGGAGATAACTGATAACTGACGTCCATTAAATATGGCACGTGGAACTAGAACAGTCTACCCCAGTGAGCGAAATAAAGGGTTCAGTTCGACATTCCAACCACCTGAAGAAGGCCGGAGCGTACAATGTCCGAAACGTTGTAATAAATATGGCAACAAAGATGAGGACAACAGTCCGAATAATGTAAATAATATACATAATACCTGATCTCAGATATATAGACAAAAATGCATTGTTTGTCATTTTACTATGAAAATGCATTGCTGGTCACTTTATTATAAAATGTATTCTTGGCCATTCTACAATAAAATGCATTGTTGGTCATTTTGCTGAAAAAATGTTTTGCTGGTCATTTTACTATGAAAATGTATTGTTGGTCATTTTGCTAAAAAACGTATTTCTTGCCAGTTTACTATAAAAATGTATTGTTCGTAATTTTATTATAAAAATATACTGTTCATTTGGGAGGGGGGGTCAATATTTACCCATAGATGGGAATCTAACAGTTGCTATCACGTCGGGTCAGGAGAGCCTTGGGAACAGTAGTAGCTCCTCAAAATTTCAAGTTTCCTGATCAGAAGCCTTACTGCCGGGTGTAGTTTATCGTCATACCCAGGATCAAGATATGCATGAGAAAATGTGAGTGAACAAGTGAATCAAAGGCCTTGCTGCCGGGTGTAGTTTATCGTCATGCCCAGGAGCAAAATATATATGAGAATATGTGAGTGAACAAGTGAGATCAGAGGCCTTGCATCTGGGTGTAGTTTATCGTCATATCCAAGACAAGGATATACACGAGAATATGTGAGTGAACATGTAAGATCAGATGTCTTGTTGCCGGATGTAGTTTATCGACATACCCAGGATCAAGATATGTATGAGAAAAAGTGAGTGAACAAGTGAATCAAAGACCTTGCTGCCAGGTGTAGTTTATCGTCATGCCCAAGACCAGGCTATATATGAGAATATGTTAGTAAACTCGTGATATCAGAGGCTTTGCTGCCGGGTGTAGTTTATCGTCATACCCAGGACCACTGCAATGTAAATGACTCTCAAGAAATACTCGCATTTCCATAAGTGCGCATATCTTCCTTAAAGGTCGAGCGCCCATCTCATGTAAATTAGGATACTTTTCCCGCCTTCTGAATATGTAACTGCTGTCCCGAAGATTTAAGATATTATCGTTAAGCGATGCCAATATAGCCCGTCCCGGCCTCAGGGCTTTTGTATATTCTTCCAAAATTACTTATATTTTCACGCGTTTATTTTCGTTTTTATTTCTCCAGGTGCCATAAAAAGACCCAATTCCTTTCGCTCATGTAAATGGACCCGCCCCGTCCCGTTGTATCGTTGTGCTCGAGCAAATACATCTGCTGCTTAACAGAGGTGGTAGGGTGTACGTCATGAGCGCCATGTTGGCATCCGGCCAACTCTCGTCGTTCGAGACTTCGATCGTAAATTATGTTATATTGTGTGTGTGAGTGTTTAGTTGTGGAAATGGAACGGGTTTCTCGTCTTAGTATTACGCTGTTTGAAGTATGTGGATGTTGGTACGGTGTGGTACTGGGGATATTCTGTTGATTTGCCCAGGTCCCTGAACTTGATTAGTACTTAGACAAGTGACCGCTTAGAAACACTGGGGCATTGCAAGTAATTTGTGTCCTTGTGCCAGGCTGAGCCAAATTTCCTTAATAGAGATTTGCATGCTCCAAAGATTGCGTAGAGGAGCGAATGATTTGAGCAGATTCTTTCTTCACATCTAAATGTTTGCTTCTTTCTTGTAAAGTTTTTGATTCTTTCTTTATTATTATATTTTGATACTTTGTTTCTTATCATTTTTTAAATTCTTTCTTTACTTATTACTTTTTAGATTCTTCCTTTCATATTGCATTTTTTATTCTTTTATTATGTATTACGTTTTTTATTCTTTCTTTCTTGTTGCGTTTTTTTTTTTTTTTCGTTTTTTATTTTTTTTTTTTATTTTTTTTTTTCTTATGTTTTTATTCATATTTATTTTCTTTTTTTTTTTTTGAGTTTTTTTTTATTCTTTTTTTCTTATTACATATTTTAAATTTCTTCTTTCTTTCTCTTTTTTTAATTTTTTATTTACGTTTTTTATTCTTTTTATTCTTTTTTTTTTGCATTTTTTATTCTTTCATTATATATTTTCTTCTTTTTTTCTTTTGAGTTTTTTTCTTTCTTTTATTTTTTTATTCTTTCTTATTACGTTTTTTATTCTTTCTTTCTTATTACATATTTTCTTCTTTTTCCTTCTTATTGAGTTTTTTATTCTTTCTTATTGCATTTTTTATTCTTTCATTATATATTACGTTTTTTATTCTTTCTTTCTTGTTGCGTTTTTTATTCTTTTTTCTTATTACATATTTTCTTTTTTCCTTTTATTGAGTTTTTTTTTCTTTCTTGTTGATTTTTTTTATTCTTTCATTTATTACGTTTTTATTCTTTCTTTCTTCTCCGTTTTTTTGCTTTTTCATTCTTTTTTTATTCTTTCTTTTTTTTATTTTTTTCTTTCTTGTTGCGTTTTTATTCTTTCTTTCTTGTTTTTTCATTCTTTCTTATTTTTTTTTATTCTTTCTTTCTTGCTTTTTTTTTATGCTTTTTTTTATTCTTTCTTTCTTGTTGCGTTTTTTTAATTTTTTTATTCTTTCTTTCTTGTTGCGTTTTTTATTCTTTCTTATTACGTTTTTTATTCTTTCTTTCTTGTTGCGTTTTTTATTCTTTCTTATTACGTTTTTTATTCTTTCTTTCTTGTTGCGTTTTTTATTCTTTCTTATTGTCCGTTTTTTTTATTTTTCTTTCTTGTCCCTTTTTTTTATTCTTTCTTATTACGTTTTTTATTCTTTCTTTCTTATAAAACATTTTCTTCTTTTTTCCTTCTTATTAAGTTTTTTATTCTTTCTTATTGCATTTTTTATTCTTCCATTATGTATTACATTTTTTGTTTTTTCTTTCTTATTACGTTTTTCATTTTTCTTATTAATTTTTTTATTCTTTCTTATTACGTTTTTTATTCTTTCTTTCTTCTTAATTTTCTTCTTAATTTTTCTTATTACGTTATTGATTCTTTCTTGCTTATTACGTTTTTCATAATTTCTTATACTTTTATTCTTTCTTTCTTATTAAGTTTTCGATTCTATCTTTCTGATTATACTATTTTTTCTTATTACATTTTTTCTTCTTTTGTTGTTTTTAATTCATTCTTTCGTATTACATCTTTTATTCATTCTTTCTATCGTATTACTCTTTCGATTCATTCTTTCTTATGACATTTTTTATCCTTTTTTTCTATCTTTATTTGTTTTTGAATCTTATTAAATTTTCTATTCTTTCTTTATTACTTATTATGTTTTGGACTCTTTCTTGTCAAATACATTTTTTACTTTTTATTTATTATTACGTTTTTGATTCTTTCTTATAACATTTTTTATACTTTCTCTCTCTATTATTACGTTTATGATACATAATACATTTTTTTCTTTCTCTTTCTATTATTACGTTTATGATTCATATTACATTTTTTATCCTTTCTCTCTATATTAGTACGTTTATGATTCATATTACATTTTTCTTTCTCTTTCTATTATTACGTTTATGATTCATATTACATTTTTCTTCTCTTTCTATTATTACGTTTATGATTCATATTACATTTTTCTTTCTCTTTCTATTATTACGTTTATGATTCGTATTACATTTTTTAATCTTTCTCTCTCTATTATTATGTTTATGATTCATATTACATTTTTTATTCTTTCCTTCTAATTACGTTTTTGATTCTTTCGTTGTTATTACATTTTTATTCTTTCTTTCTATCTTTATTTTTTTTATTCTTATTACATTATTTATTCTTTCTTTATTTCTTATTACTTTTTAGATTTTTTCTTATTACATTTTTTCTTCTTTCTTTCTCATTACATATTTTATTCTTTCTTTTATTGTTTCATTCTTATTACATTTTTATTCATTCTTTTGATCTTATTATGTTTTTTATATTTTCTTTCTTATAGTTTTATTCTTTCTTATTAAGTTTTTGATTCTATCTTTCTTATACTTTTATTCTTTCTGTTTTGTCTTGTTAAGTTTTTTATTCTTTCTTTCTTATAACGCTTTTGATGCATTGTTTTTTATTACCCTTTTGTTATTTCATTGCTTTGTTGTTTTTGATTCATTCTTTCTTATTATATCTTTTATTCAGTCTTTCCATCGTATTACGCTTTTGATTCTTTATTATTACATTTTTTATTCTAATTTTCTTATAATTTTTTTCTTTATTCTTTATTACATTTTTATTTATTTCTTATTAGGTTTTTTATTCTTTCTTTCTTATTACGGTCTTTATTCTTTCTTTGTTATTACCTTTTTCATTTTGTCTTTCTTATTCATTGCTTATTCTTTCTTTCACTGTTTATTATCCTTTGGATCCTTTTGTTCTTTCTTATTACGTTTCTTGATTTTTTTCTTTCTTATTACATTTTATTATTTCTTTCTTTCTTTCTTTCTTACGTTTTTGATTCAATGCTTCTTATATTTTTTTTATTCTTTCTTTCTTTTTACATTTTTAATCTTTCTTCCTTATTACATTTGTTATTATTTCTTATTACATTTGTTATTATTTTTTCTTTATTTTTATGTCTACGCTTCTTTCTTATTATGTACCTTTTTTCTTTCTTTCGTATTCAGTTTTTTATCTTTTGTTTCTTTTTTATTACGTTTTGGATTCTTTCTTTTTATAACATTTTTCTTTTTTCTTTCTATCTTTTTTATTCCATTTCTTTTTATGCATTTGATTCTTCTGTTCATCCATTTTTTTATTTCTTTGTTCATGTTAGGTATTTGAATTTTCTTTCTTTCTTGTTATATATTTGATTCTTCGTTCTTTCTTTCTTTCTTTATTTCATTCTTATGTAATTTATTCTTCATTCATTCTATCTTCTTATGCTTCTTCTTTCTTTCTTTATATGTATTTAATTTTTCGCTCTTTCTTGTTATCCATATGATCTTTCTTTCTTTTTTTTCTTTCTATGCATTTTATTCTTCTTTCTTTCTTTTTTGATATCCATTTGATCCTTCCTTTCTTTTTTCTTTACTTTCTTTCTATGTATTTAATTTTTCGTTCTTTCTTGCTATCTTGCTATGCATATGATTCTTTCTTTCTTTCTTTTTTCTTTTCTTTCTTTCTTGTTATGTATTTGATTCTTTTTTTCTTTCTTTCTTTTTTTTACTTTCTATGTATTTTTTGTCCTTTCTTGTTATCTTGTTATGCATATGATCTTTCCTTCCTTTCTTCTTTCTTTATATCTTTCTTTCTTTCTTTCTATGCATTTTATTCTTGTTTCTTTCTTTTTTGATATCTATTTGATTCTTTCTTTCTTTTTTCTTTACTTTCTTTCTATGTATTTAATTTTTCATTCTTTGTGATATCTTGCTATGCATATGATTCTTTCTTTCTTTCTTTCTTTCTTTTCTCTTTCTTTCTTTCTTTCTTTCTTTCTTGTTATGCATTATATTCTTCGTTCTTTCTTTTTTTCTTTCTTATTATGCAATTTATTCTTCGTTTATTCTTTCTTGTTATGCATTTGCTTCTTTCTTTCTTTCTTGAATTTGATTCTTAATTCTTTGTTTCGATCTTTTTTATTTTGCTCTTGAGAATTTGTTCTTGCCTTCAATGTGTCCTGGGAGAGTGTCAAATTCTCCAAGACCATTTTTCTCATTATGCGTTCCACGATCTTTCATTATTGTAGGCTGTCAAAATAGACGGCACTTCCAACTCGGCAATAGGTTCAGTAGAAACAAAGACGTTTTTTTTTTTAGTTATACAGACCTCCTCAAGCACGAAGACTCAAACTAAAGCAAACGTACATATAAGGCGAACTCAAAGATGACGCTGATGGATTTTGCTAAAAAATAAACAAAAATTATTGAAAATGCCCTCCCTTCTCTGGATATTAATCTAATTGAACAGGGGTTGGCAAACTTCCGCACGCGTGCCACACGTGGCACTCCAAGCAGTTTTCAATGGCACGCAGCCGTAAATGACATCATGAAATCCGAACCAATAACTACTACAATGCAAAGAAGATATTTAGCCGTTTCAATATTAATATATACTAAAGTATATATACTATATATTACTATATAAAATATATTGTACAACAGGTATATTGATCTTGACTTATATAAAAATATGTATGCTGTTGAATTAAAATGCCGAATGATTTTAAAACCCAAAGTCGACACATAGCAAAAGGTTGCCGAATCCTGTGTTAGACAATTTAAAACACCTACTAAGGGTCCTAATATTATCAGAACACCCAAATTTGTACGAAAATGCAGACGCAGATAATTATTAATAAGAATCATAGAACAGGGGTCAGCAACTTAC